ATCTTTTGGAAGAGTTTTGTAGAATATAATTTTAAGCAATTTCTTAACTTATTTGATTTTTTGTTTCTCACAAATTCTACTGTAATAGTAGTGTACTAGAGCATGAATAACAAACACAGTTTAACTCTGACTTAAAAATGCCTAAAGTAGGGCCGGCCCGGTGGCACACTGGATGGTGCGCCGCTTGGGAAGCGCGGCGGCGCTCCCGCCCGAGGGTTCGGATCCCACATGCAGACCGGTTCCCGCTCACTGGCTGAGCGAGGCGCAGGAGCAACACCGAGGGTTGCGATCCCGTTGCCGGTCCCTGGCCCGGTACAGGGGCAACACTGAGGGTTGCGATCCGTTGCCGGACACGGAAAAAGACAAAAAAAAAAAAATGCCTAAAGTACATCAAATGCCTTAAGAGAGAAAAATGAAAGCCATTTACTCTTCGAGTAGATTCTTCTTGCCTTCTTCAATGGCTGGTCCCTCAGGGTCTGATTCTTGACCAAAATGCAAAGCAGGCATGTAATATGGATAGGTGTTCTTTTAAGCATAGAACTATACAGCACAATGGGGAAGCCAAAGAGGCTTCACGTTGAATGAAGCTTCTTTCATTCAAGGTATAGAGAGAGCTGAAGGAGTTGGAGTCAGCTGGTCCCAGGCTCTTCCTGCCTCTCCCCACCTCTAGGGGGCTCTCAGGGATTCCTCAACATTTAAGGGCTCTCTGGGGTAAAGCTGAAAACAACACATTGTTATGTGTACATAACTGCCTCAGTTTTCAAATTTGTGAGACTGGGGGTAAATTGTTATTCACCAGAACAATGAACATTTGTAGAAAGTAGAGCTAATAAATTAAAAAAGCCTTCTTGTTTGAATGAATAGTTTGATGGAACTAGCTGAGTTTAGACTTAGGAAGATTGGAGAGAGGTGAGTACTTAGGCATAATAATCCCCAAGGTAATCTGAGGGTAGGGGAAGAAAAGAGATGAAAGAAGAAGAGGAGGAGGAGAAGAGGATTCAGAGGATGTGAGGCTGAGGTGAAAAGTGGGGTGTATGTCCTCAGGGAAAGTTCCCAGGGTAGAAGAATTGTAATTACAGAGAAGTCTAGAATTCTATTCTAAATTCGTTAATTATTATGATTATAAAACCTCTCTGTCTTCCCAGATCTTTAATAAAATCTAAAAACCATTGTGGAAACTGAGCATGAAGCAAGTTTCATGTCTCAGAATGAAACATGGACAGACTGATAGAACAATTGACCCATAAAGTAGAGTAATCCAGCAGTACCAAGGGCTCATACCATAAGAAAGTAAGAAATCTACACATTAACAGAAATCATAGGGAGGGTCTTGTACTTGCATAGGGTATGCAATGAAGGGTGGAAATCTTACTTAAATCTTAAGGAACAAGGGAGATCCCAGCTAATATCTGAATAACAGAAGGAAGTTATAATTTTGTGTGAAGGAACTCTTCCACCACATTGACTTGTGGCTTCACTACCGAAAAATGTCAATAACCCTTAAATGAGTTGGACTATATTCCTAATAATCGATTGGCCACCTCCAAATCTTTTCTCCCGATTTTCTTGTCTTTCCCCTCAGAAACTTTGAGTCTAAACAAAACATTCATGCTCTGTCTCCTTACCACAATTAAAAATATCAATTAAAGATAAAAATAAAAGGTCTGAAAAGGATTTTTGTTCTCTCTCCAGATGATGTGTGCATTGTTTAATAATTTAACTCAAAATAATAAATAATATGTACAATTCAGCATGTTACATCACACTTATGGGGAATAGCAACAGAGATCTTTGGTGATTGCTCAAATTATACCTCACAGGTAACCACCACTCTACATGTTTGGCTGAGCTTGAACAATAGAATGCCCACTCCTGCAAGCAGGGTAAGGCTTCCTTATAAGGATGTGTTATGTAGTGTAAAGGGCATAGGATATAACTTGAGAATGGAATTGAGTGCCTGTTTCATCATTCACTGTCGAAGGGACTTTAGGTAAAACATTTCACTTTTCTGAACCTCAATTTTTTCTTTTGGTCTGAAAGACAATATGTACTTCCTAGGTTTGTTACACAGATCAAGTGGAGTTAGATATATAAAAAGACACTGCAAACAGTAGAGAAAGGACTTTATAATCTATAAATCACGACACAGCTGTGAAAAAGAGTGCTATAAAAAGAGAACTAGACTTGGACTCAAAATACATGGTGTTTTGGGTTGATCTGTGTCCCACAAAAGATTATGTTAAAGTCTTAACTCCCGGTTCCTGTGAATGTGACCTTATTTGGAAATAAGGTCTTCGCAGAAGTAATCAAGTTAGGGCTGATTCCAGCTCTTGGCTATTGTAAAGAGTGCTGCAATGAACATTGGGAAACAGGTATACCTTCGACTTGATGATTTCCATTCCTTTGGATATATTCCCAGCAGTGGGATAGCTGGGTCGTATGGTAGATCTATCTTCAGTGTGGATACGGAAAATGTGGTATATCTAT